GATTGTCTCCTTCCAGAGGCCCAAAGGGTCCAAAGGCAGCGAAATGGTCCACTTCTGCGGCGGATCCATCATTAATGAGCGATGGCTACTGACGGCCGCCCATTGCTTTCAGGGGTTAGTATACCATAGATAGTTGCGGTGAGGAATGGGATCTAACGGTTGAGTACTGTATACACCTCTCGAAGAGTGTCCAGTTCCTTCAAGAAGATGCAGGCCGTGGTGGGCACCATCAAGTGGAAGGACAGCCCACACAAGTATACGCTGGAGAAGGCCTTCAACCACGAAAAGTACGACGAGGATGTCTACGCCAACGACATATCGCTCATCAAGACGAAGGAGCCGATCAAAATCGTCGAGAATAAGATCCAGTATCTCGTGAACAGCGTATGTGTGGCCACACCCGACACGAAGCCCCCCGAGTCGGCTACGGTGTACGGGTGGGGGTACCTGAAGGAGGACGGCGACCCCAGTCCCGACCTCATGAAAGTGACCGTCAATAGGACGGACACCAAGGAGTGTAATAAAGTGTATCAAGAGTTTGTGGGCAATTTCACGGAGCAAATGATTTGCTATATGTCGCCGGGAAAGGACGCCTGCAAGGTATGGGCTAATAGTGATGGTTATTTAAATGGTAACCGAGCGAGGTTCAATTTGTAATTTAGTATATAATTTGATTTATATAAATATATTTGTATTTTTTTTGTCATTCATAGGGAGATTCTGGCGGACCGTTGACTCAGTCTATTAAAAGGTTTCTCAATGATTGCCAAAACTTTATGGAAAGTTTTAACTATATGTTTAAATTGATAATAGGAGGGGCACCCAAGTGGGAGTGGTATCGTTTGGACACGGGTGCGCTCGACCTAAGACCCCGGGTATATACCAAGAAGTTGGCAAGTTTTACCACTGGATCGAGACAACTATCAAGAATAATTCCTAGTGTCACATTTACCTGACTTATAATATGAATTTTTGTAATTAAGCCTTGTTAATTAAAAAATCTATTTTGATTTAATAAACAATTATTTCAATGAGAAGCATATTTGTTTAATTATATTATTGGTGTGTATATTCAGTTTTATTAAAATTAAATTACCTAGACACTTATGGTTTAAAGCTAATAAGAATGTTGGATGTGAAAGCAATGTTAAAACCCCATTGAAAAGTGCATAGGATTTTCTAATTGAAGGTTTTCACTCCAATAGCACAAAACAGTTCACAAACCCTATGTTTTTCCAACCATACCTTTACATATCGTGAACACATTGAGTACTATCTATGAAAAGGTGCCACACATTCTCTATCAGTCTCACAATCAGACAGACTTCGTTTTTCTATTCATTTTTACTTTTCATGAACACATAAGTGGCAGCAGAGGTCCCATAAACACCTAAATTTGTCAAAACACGTCAAACACACGAAAAAATTAATTAATTATTCATATAATAGATGGCATTAATTTGTTAATTACTGTAATTGTCAAAAAGCCTATCGCATGGACCCATATGTGAGATTTGTATGAAAACCTTCAATGAGAAAATCCTATGCACTTTTCAATGACTTTTTAAACTGTATTTTACCCTGGTGTAGGTGATTTTTAATCTTAAATTTATTTCTATTCACTGATTACGCTATAAATTGTAATATTCAGGAAGTTATTATTGCATTCAAAAAAACAATTTCAACAAAAATACTATAAAAATTATTTATTAAAAGTTTTAATCGCACATTTTAATTTAAAATTTTATGAATACAAACCATAATTATCCAAAAATATATACAGAATATTCTGTATGTGAACTTATAAATATATATATGGTTGAGGATATCCCTGAGCACTTTGTTAGCACATATACAATATGTACGAGAATTTGTAATATAATAAACTGTTTACTAATTAACATTATAAGTAAAATGTCTGTTAGATAACGATAATTTAAAAAATTTAAATACACATTCAAATAAATATAAGTTACTTGGTGAAATTAAAATGAGCCATACTTTAACCAATGTGCTATTTATCTTGATATTTCTACTAGAACATTTTACAGGTACTTTAAAACTAATTAAATACACGCTAACTGTTGCATTACAAATATAAATATAACTTATCACCTAGCTAATTCACTCAAAATCAATACACACAATGAGAGTACAACCACCGAGGAGTCGGACAGTTACCTACAATTAACTGATAAGTAAACGCCAGCTAATGAATAAATAATAATAAAATATTTATATCAATACTATTACTATAGAAAAAACTGACCACAAGATTATACATCCAGATCCAGTCAACAGATCATTAATTTAAAGTATTGCGGACTAACTAAGGATGTGAGTGCACCGTTAGCCCGTATAGTGGGCGGTAAGAAAGTCACTATCAAGCAGTTCCCGTGGATGGTGTCCTTTCAGAAGCAAAGTGGCGCTACTTTTAAGCACTTCTGCGGCGGATCTGTTGTCAACCTGCGATGGATACTGACTGCCGGCCACTGTTTCAATGGGTTCGCGAATCGTCGCCCAAAACCATACATATATCACACAATTTTGCGTCCAATCCATAGACTCAAGCATTCATACAAGAAGGTCAGAGCAAAAGTAGGCGCAACCCATTGGGACACCGACGCCGGCACTGTCTACGAGTTGGCCAAAGTGGTCGTCCACGAGAACTACCAGTCCTTCAACTACAACAACGACATAGCGCTCATTAAACTCAAACAGCCGGTTCAGTTCGTAAGCGAGGGCGAGCACCGTCTGGTGAACACCGTGTGTATGCCCTCACCCGGCAGCCAACCGCCCACGCGGGCCAGTGTCTACGGGTGGGGCCTACTGAGCACGTACGGGTCGACCAGCTCGCAGCTCATGAAAGTAATACTCGACAAATACGACACATCCGACTGTAACGACGCTTACCACCAATTTGTGGGCAAATTCACGCCTCAAATAATGTGCTACGCGACGGCCGGTAAAGACGCCTGTCAGGTGTGACCACCAGTTCCTCCTATGGCTTATAATTTGAGTGCTCTTTCCCGTGACTTTAGGGCGACTCCGGCGGACCCCTGTCCACCAATATTGATGGGTTTGTATGGCGCTGTTGTTAACCGCTATAATTAGATGCAAAAGTAATTTAAAGTTTTTTTTGTATAATAGGAAAGAGATTCAGTTCGGTATCGTGTCGTTCGGCCAGGGATGTAGTCTGGAGGACCGCCCCGGGATATACACCAATGTCGTACTGTATATGGACTGGATTAATAAGATTATTACCAGTGATAAACAGGTTTAACGCAATCGCTTAACACATAAATTCAATAAATACTGTATTATTAGATCGATATTTTGTTTTATTAGAAAATATAATCCATTTATTAATTTAATTTAGAATATATTGCGCTGAATATCAATTAGCATGGTCAGATAATTCGGGCAAATACCAGGGCTCGATAGTTAATCAGTCTTGACAACGGTGTCATCATTTCTATGATCCTTAGCCACCCCTTGGTTAGCCTTTTGGTCGATACCCGGGACCAACTGGTGCTTCTCCTGTTTCTCCTTATCTAAACCGGCCTCAAAGGGCGTACTATCGTGTCGTTCAACGCCACCCTTCGTAACATCCATACGATTGTCTTCACTCACTGTAGTGGTCGTCGGATTAGTTACCGGCGCCGACGATGCGCTCAATGTTGTCAACAAATCAGTGATGGCTTTATGGGTAGGCGTTAAGTCGAGTTCGTATATCCTGGTAGTCCGGCCGCCATCGCTGTTCTCGGCGTATTCAACGCACACTAGTTTCGCATTGTCTTTGTTTAGCAGTTGAGGGGCCGGTGTGGGGGGCGGAGGGGTAGTAGTGGTCACTGTTTGTTGGTTTCTATTTTTATTGCCAGAGAATAAGTTTTGTATAAACTTTCCCACCCTTTGAAAGAAGTTTCCGATTTGTGCTGAAAGTATAGACCAATAAAAAACAAATTATTTTTCGATATAAAAGTTACTTAAACTTAGATTTCAGATATCAAAGTGGAAATGGAGTTAAAAAGTGTAATTCTTTTAATTGTTAATTATAGCAATGGCTTTAAGGTAATGATAGTGGAGGGGAGGGGGTTAGGAGGTCTGGGGAGAGGGTTATAATTGTATGGATTAATCTCAAGACACACAAACCGAAGACATTTTGCCACCAATTGGCAAACTTTTGCCAGAAGTCGCGTCTGTCCTGATCATTGAGATATCGACTCGAGATCTTGTACTTGTCGTACACATCCTGAGGCATAGCCTCGGGTTTT